GGGGGGGTTTGCTTGGGATTGCAGCAATAAGAGGAGAGCTTGGGCATAGAGGAGTCTTTTTTTAGTCACTGTTGGTGCCTTCATCACTGCTGCACATGGGCATCTGTATCTATCTGTATCTGTAACCTGTACAATCCATATCTCGACCTTCTATCTGTTAATTTGGCAACACAAGTCTGAATCACGACTCGGTGCAGTTCCTGTAGTCTTGGTCTAAGATGCCAGGAGGAGATGCAGTTGCAAAGGTTTTATTTTAAGTGTTTTCAATGGAGTTCTGGCAGAACGCAGAGGACGGCGAGCTATAGGAGATCAGTTCCTATAGAGAAGCAGCTATCTACAATGTATCAAATCCATCACAAGTGTATACGTTCAGAGCCCACATTTGCAGAGGGGTTTACAGTGCAATGTACATGTATTTCTATAGTTATTGCCAAGATTGGATTTATATCAGATATTAAAATGATCTCTAGGCAAGTGCTGGGGAACTACAAGTGTCAGCATGTTCTAATCACTTCATCCTTACAATGATAATGTCATCTCGTAGACTGCCAAGGCAATGTCTGCAAGAGATGTGGGACTTTAAGACTCAGCTTGCATTATTGGCCTTAGCTGTAAAATGATCACATTGGTCTATATCTATAGGCAGTGCTTAGAGTTCCAGGCTATAGCTGCTGTGGAACTGCATGTCCCAGCATGCCCAGGACTGTGCTTTCTTATCAGGCTCTTAAGAGTTATGCTGGGATTTGCACTTTCATTGCTGGCCCTGGTGAAATGATGTGCCTTGCCTGGCAGTTAGGGTCAGACTGGGGCGTGTAGTTCCTTCTCTAACAGCATGCTAAGACTTGTAGTTCCACCTATATCCCTGACACCAATACTTGTAGTTCCACTTCTAACCCAAATTATGGGATTTGTAGTTCCTTCTCTAACAATATGCTGGGATTTGTAGTTCCACCTCTATCCCTGACACTGAGACTTGTAGTTCCACCTCTAACACTAATGCTGGGACTTGTAGTTCCTTCTCTAACAATATGCTGGGATTTGTAGTTCCACCTCTATCCCTGACACTGAGACTTGTAGTTCCCCACCTATCCCTGACACTGAGACTTGTAGTTCCACCTCTAACACTAATGCTGGGACTTGTAGTTGCTTCTCTAACAATATGCTGATACTTGTAGTTCCCCTTCTATTCCTGACACTGAGACTTGTAGTTCCCCACCTATCCCTGACACTGAGACTTGTAGTTCCACCTCTAACACTAATGCTGGGACTTGTAGTTGCTTATCTAACACTAATGCTGGGACTTGTAGTTCCTTCTCTAACAATATGCTAATACTTGTAGTCCCACCTCTATCCCTGACACAGAGACTTGTAGTTCTACCTCTAACCCTAATGCTGGGATTTGTAGTTCCTTCTCTAACAATATGCTGAGATTTGTAGTTCCGCCTCTGTCCCTGACACTAAGACGTGTAGTTCCACATCTAACGCTCATGCTGGCACATGCAGATCCTTCTTCAACTATATGCTAAGACTTGTAGTTCCACCTCTATCCCCGACACTGGGACTTGTAGTCCCATTGCATGCAGGCTAATATTATGTCATTTAACCACTGCTTTTGTGACTGCTGGGGCCTAGCTGATATTTCTACAGCTGGTTCCTGTGACATGCTGGGATTGGAGGTTCCATATGGAGCTGGTAGGGTTTTGGTGGGACTTTCCACATCTGCCTGTGACTGCTAATAGTTGCCTGGGAATTGTGGTTCTTCTTCTAGCTGTCATGATTTGCTGAGACCTGTAGTTTCACTACACACTTGCTGGGACTTGCAGTTCCACTATTATAAAGCTTTTTGGGATTTGCAGGTCCACTCCAAAGCTTGCTGGGACTTACAGCTCCTGCACAAAGCTTGCTCTAACTTGTAGTTCCTCTGCAAAGCTTTCTAGCTATTGCAGTTCATCTAGAAAGCTTGCTGGGACTTGCACTTCCCCCCCAGAAAACTTGCTGGGACTTCTAGTTCCATTACAAAGCTTGCTGGGATTTGAAGTTCCTCTAGAAAGCTTGCTAAAATGGGCAGTTCCTCTAGAAAGCTTGCTGGGACTTGCAGTACCTCTAGAAAGCTTGCTGGGACTTACAGCTCCTCTACAAAGCTTGCTCTAACTTGTAGTTCCTCTGCAAAGCTTTCTAGCTATTGCAGTTCATCTAGAAAGCTTGCTGGGACTTGCACTTCCCCCCCAGAAAACTTGCTGGGACTTCTAGTTCCATTACAAAGCTTGCTGGGATTTGAAGTTCCTCTAGAAAGCTTGCTAAAATGGGCAGTTCCTCTAGAAAGCTTGCTGGGACTTGCAGTACCTCTAGAAAGCTTGCTGGGACTTACAGCTCCTCTACAAAGCTTGCTCTAACTTGTAGTTCCTCTGCAAAGCTTTCTAGGTATTGCAGTTCCACTACAAAGCTTGCTGAGACTTGCAGTTCTTTCAGAAAGCTTGCTGGAGCTTGCACTTCGTCTAGAAAGCTTGCTGGAGCTTGCACTTCATCTAGAAAGCTTGCTGGAGCTTGCACTTCATCTAGAAAGCTTGCTGGGATTTGCAGTTCCTTTAGAAAGCTTGCTAAAAAGTGCATTTCCTCTACGAAGCCTGCTGGGACTTGCAGTTCTTCTAGAACGCTTGCTGGGACTTGCAGTACCTCTGCAAAGCTGACTGGCACTTGCACTTCCTCTAGAAAGTTTGCTGGGGCTTGCAGCTCCAGTAGAAAGCTTGCAGGGACTTGCAGGTCCTCTACAAAGCTTGCTGGGACTTGCAGTTCCTCCAGAAAGATTGCTGGGATTCGCACTTCCTCTAGAAAGTTTGCTGGGACTTGCAGGTCCTCTACAAAGCTTGCTGGGACTTGCAGTTCCTCCGGAAAGATTGCTGGCACTTGTAGTTCCTTTACAAAGCTTGCTAAGGCCCCATTCACACCTGACCGTTTTGTAGCGCGTCCTACGCTCGATGAACGCTCTACAAAACGGTCAAAAAAATAATAGCATTGTAGTCAATGGTATCGTTCCCACCTGTCCGTATTTCCGCCCGTCCCGAACGCACTACAAAACGGCCCACGCATGAAAAGGTCCCGGAGCGTTTTTTTGCTGCGTATTGGTCCGTTTTGTAGGGCGTTTTCCATTTGTATACTGCCAAGTAGCCTTTGGAATCGCGCGACGGTCGCGCGACTTTTTTACCGAGAATCGCGGTAAAAAAACCGCGTGACGGTCGCGCGACAGACGCGCATATTACAATACGCATAGGTGTGAATGGGGGCTTAGTCATGTAGTTGCACAGCTGGCCAGCTTGGTAAGTGTCCCCCAGCCACATCAGAGGTGTGTGTCTCAGCTACATTGCTGATTGCTAAGCAAAAATACACCCTAGACAAAACCACCAGTGTGCCCCCACGCTGCAACCAACCTGCACATATATCCATGTATATTAGCTGGGGGGGTGTTGTGTTGGTTTGTCTCTCGGCTATAGATCGCCTTGTGAATCAAAGCCTTGCTTTTAATTTCTATGTTACTATGGCAACAGAATCAAGTTCAACTATAATATAAAATCAAGAGCTGATTGCTATAGGTGTACTTCCCACTCCCGAGTTGACAGGAGAAGAAGAAGACTTGCGTGTTTGTAGAATACAAATCAAGCAGAAATATCAGTCAGCTTGCCAAGGAAAGGGTTAAACCCCCTCCCCAAATCCTTTAAATGGGAGCCCTTGTGTTGGATCTGTTGCAGGCTCAGGCGACAGGCAGGGGAAGGGTTAACCAGTCACATGACTCCATTATAGTCTGGTGACCTGTGGCGGCGGAAGGGGTAATGTGTCCGGGATAAGTGGTCAGAATGGGTGGGGGGTGGGGGGGATCCTTCTAAACCATCCACATCATTTATTTCTCATTTGTTGTATCCGTGACGTCAAAGCGTTCCCTCTATCCGGGTCCAGTGTCACATCAGAGCCGTACACATCAATTCATTCCATCTATAGATAGATATGTATATTGTGCAATCATTCTATCTATATATGTATATTGTGCAATCATTCTATCTATATATGTATATTGTGCAATCATTCTATCTATATATGTATATTGTGCAATCATTCTA